AGGCAAGCTCCTGTATCATTAATCTCAAAAACTAGCTTTGGAAGCAAGGTTAGCAGGTACGAAGCAATTATAGACCATTACTATAAATCTGCCAAAGGGCACTGAATAGTCTGAAAATTTGAGTGCTACTGAATCTCACAGAGAAATAACCAGTGAGAGCCACAATTATCATGGGATCCACCCCAAAGAAGGAAACATGAACTGCTTCTTGTAAAATGGAGTAGCCATTGGAATGTTGAAACACAGGGGAAGGCTATTTCAGAGGACGGAATAGAACAACAAACTCACAAAGACAGAATAAAAAAATATGGCATCACATAGTGGACAAGAAAGTGTTTTTAGATTCAGAAAGACCTAGTTATGAATTATTTACTCTGCTGTTACATCATTTGTTTATAAAAGTAAGGACTAGTTGAAGAGAAATAGTGGTAGGATTTTAAATGTTTCAAAAATAGTTAAAAATGGTTTAATTGGAAATAAAATCTCCACTTTGGGTTATTTTAAATATAAACTGCTTATTTAAGGTTGGACAACAGGTTAATATGCTAAAGTTGTTTGTTTGCATGACAATTCTTCAAATTTCTGTTAGCTTTCAATTTCCACAGAATGATCAGAAATGGAAAGAGAAGGGGAGGAAAATGGGATGAAAATCAATTTAGAATTCATATGTAAGGACTCCCATCCCACCCCATTCCATCCCAAATTGCAAATTATATATATTTTCTCTTCCAAACAATATGTTTACAAGGGAGAAGAAAACCTTGTAAACCATTTCCTTAAATACACAGACCTGCACTGATCAATGGTGCTGTTTTAATTTTTGTAATCTAGAAATGTTAAGCACAATGGCAATAGTGACATCTGCTACAACAATGGATGGTTAATATGTCAAGGCTTAGATCACTGTTCCTGTATTCCGTAATAAATATTTATTATTTGGTGCACTATACTTGATCACTTTGTAGGTATTAGAGTAAATTTGAATTTATTTATTTTATAAATATTTGTTAAATGTTGCATCACTTAAGTCAGGGCAGGCTGGGTTATGCTGCCATAACAAATAACCATATAACCACAGTAACATAAATCACTGTGTGCTTACTTTTTCTCCAAGCTACGTGTCCCCATTCCAAGTCACAGCTGTTCTGTTCAGATAGCCCTTTTTCAAGAAATAACATTAACAGAACCTCTGCTATCTGGAAGATCTTTGGTTTCTACCACAAAGAAAGGATGAAGACACGGCAAATTGCATGGAGACTCTTATGGATGTCTTTCTCAGAGTGGCAACTGAATTCCAGTCACATAGATCATGCCTAACTTTAAGCTTGGTTTTGGAAGGGTGCAACACTAACATGAGGCAAAGAAGAAAACTAGAAATTTAGATAAGTGCTAATTAATCTGACAACTAGTGCTGCAACTTCAGAGGGGAAAGATAAAATTCCTATGATGTTCCCATATCTGTTGGGAGATGGAGATATTAAACATGTAAACTATAAATAACAATATAAAATTGTAGTAAATGTAATGATGGAAAAAAACAGGGTAGTCAACTATAGAACAATGGAGAAGAGAATGCCTTAGCTGTGATAGTCAAGAAATAACCCTCTGAATAGTTGAAAATAAACCTGAAAATTAAGTGTTTAAAGGTCAACTGTGCAAAAAATTTACCAAAGTAATACTTTAGGCATACGGAACAGTGAGGAAGATGTCTCAAATTAAGAATGAGATAAAGTAATACTTTATAAAACCAAGAAAGTCATTCTGCTTTTATTACATTTGCACTAGGGATTAATAAGATCTGATTAACATTTTGAGAGATGCATCTGACTTCTGTATGCAGAATTGATGGTTACTAGAAAAGAATAATACAGAGAAACAAGTCAGGAGCCTAGCAATAAAAAAAGCGTCTAGAACTAGAATGTGGGAGAGTCAGTAGTGAGAGGGGGATGAATAAAATTTTCAAAGTACATACATTTTAAGAGTGACAAGAAAAGGAATTATGTTTACTATCAAGCAGTGGATATGAGCTACTTATTAGAAGACAGTTTCATTTACTAAGAAGGTTGGAAATGGGACAGGACCATCTTTAGAGGTGATGTAGAGATAGGCTTCTGGTTTAAGGGTGTTGTTATGGATAGATTTACCTATGATAAATGTTGGTCATACAAATAAGCCTGTAGAATTAAAGTTTGAAGTTCAGAGAAAATCTAAAGGGTGAACATAAAAATCTAGAAACAACGGCACATTGTTTTAAAGACTGAGAATAGTCTAAGAACAGTGTAGTATAAATGAAGAGAAGTATAATTAGCCATAATAATGCATTAGAAGAGAAAATAAAACAGGCAGGCTAAATAGAAATTAAGCACCAAGATGGTAAATTTATAAGAATATATGTCAGTAAACACTTATAAGAAAATTAAATATTCTCATAAAATATATTGTCAAACTGGAAAAAATATTCAGCCCTTTGCTGTATTTGTTAAAGACATATCTAAAATGTAAACATAGAAAATTAGATACTAGAAACATTGTTAAAGTAATGCCATGCAAACACTAATAAAAAGTAAACTGATATAATTAAATTAATTTCAAATATTTTTATCCAAAAACAGTTATTAAAAATGAAGTGAACCATTTTCATCATAGTAAAGGATTAAATTTAGGAAGTTATAATAGTCCAAATTTATATGCACCTAATTCATATTAAACAAAGCTACATAATTATAAAAGGAATGAATCAATTTTTACTCAGTGGAGGATTTTAAAATAATTTTTTAGTAATTAATAACTAATAAACAAAGCCGAAACTTATCAGTGAGAAAAAATATACTACATAATTAATGCATTAACCTAATTGACATCCGTGGGAAAAGGACACTTCAGAATTGGATTTCCTTATGTTTTCATGCATACGTTGAGCATATCAAATTTTTGTTATCTTGGCGAATTGATACTTTTATCTTTTTACAGTGTCCCTGTTTCTTCCTGTTATTTTCTTTGCTCTGAGCTCTACTTTCTCCTCTAATATTGCCACATGAAGAATCTTCTGATTTTCTTGGCATGCTGTTTTTCATCTTTTTACTGTTAACCTCCTTTGGTATTTAATTTGAAGTAAGTTTGTTGTAGAAAGAATTTAGTTGGGTAAACTTTTAAAATCCACTTTGTCAGTTTTGGCTTCTTAATTGATGTGTGTAGATTATTTATATTAAATTCAACTAAATTGTTGATATTTAGAACTTACATACGTGATTTTGTTCTGTGTTCTGTTTGTTCCATTTGGTTTTTGTTTCTGTTTCCCTTTTCCTCTCTTACGTGGGTTACTTGAACAGGTTTTAATTATTGTGTTGATTTATCAATGCTTTCTGAATATATCTTTTCATACTTTTTACTGTTTGATCAAAGATGACAATATGCATATGTAGCTTATCACTTAGAAATTGTGATGAATAGTCGTTATCCTTTCTCATTATAATTGATTTAAATCTTACCTCTATATACATGGAGAAGTGCATCAAACAATTTTATACATTCTCTTTTTATCTGTCAAACACAATATAAAAAACTCAAGAGAAAAAAGTTTGTTTTCTCACATAATTATCGTATTTTCTCTCTTCATTATATATGTTCTCAAGTTTCTTTCGATTTTCTGTTGAAATATCTTTCTTTAGCTATTTTTAGAGCTTTGTTGTCTAAGAGTAACTTGGCTTCTTGAATCTACAGATTTGTATATTTTGGGAAATTATGAAAGTTTTCATCATTATTTCTTCAAATATTTTATAAGCACCACATTTTTTTCTTTCTTTCAGGGACTCTAATGACATCAAATTTAGATCATTTTAAAATTCCCCAAAAGATATCTGAGGCTTAGTTCTTTTCATCAATTTTTTTCTATGTTGTTCACATTGAATAATCTCTATTGATCAGTATTCAATTTTACTGATTCTTTCCACTGTCATCTCTGTTTTGCTATTTAATCCATCCAATGAAGTATTTTTGTTTCTGTTTTCAGGGATTTTACATATTTGTATTTTTAGTTTAAAATATTTGTTTGGTTATTTTTTATATGTTCCATTACTTTGCTAAGACTTTTTATTTTTTATATGTGTCAAGAGTCTTTGTAGTTGCTTATTAGAACATTTTTATGAAAACTGTCATGATATTCTTGTCTAACAATTTTAATATCAATGTCATCTCAACCCTACTGTGTATTGATTGTTGTGTCTCATTTGATTTGAGATATTACTACTTCTTGGTATAACAACTAACTTTGGACAGCATGCTTAAGATTTTGAATACTATGTAATAAGACTCTGGTTTATATTAAACCTTATATTTTAGCAGGTATTTGAATTAATTAGGTTCAAAATCCACATCTTGCTTCACAAATATGAGATATGGTTTAAATTCCAATTTATATGTAAAGCTACTAAAACATTATACTGTTCTGCCACAATGTGTTATTCAGGTAATAGCATTCTATACAACACATTCTTAAACAATGTCCTAACAAATACCTAGATACTAAAACCTGACAATAGTATTTTCTTCTTAAAAAAAAGAGAGAGATACTGCCTCATTACTGTAAGATGCATATAGAAGTCAAAGTTCTTCCCATTGATTCTGCTTGGGAAGGGTACAAAATCATTGCTTTAGGGGTGGGGTGAATGTTGAAGCTTTGCCCACAGGGTTTATCACAGAAGGGTGCCTCTTCATTACTGAAAGATGTGTCTGGAAGTCAGAATTTCAACACAGGTTTAGGGATGGGGACTATGCTATAAATTTAGTGTAGAGATTATATATGACAAGGTTCCACTCATGGACTCCACTGCTTCAGTATGAACTGGGGAGGGGAGAAGTGTGGCTTTCTTTGAAGTGTTCACCTTAAGAACAGAGCGATATTGTTAAAATATTCTTTTAGGACAGGTGTGGTGGCTCATGCTTGTAATCCCAGCACTTCGGGAGACTGAAGTGGGCAGATCAGGAGGTCAAGAGATCGAGACCATCCTGGTCAACATGATGAAACTCCATCTCTACTAAAAATACAAAAATTACCCAGTATGGTGGTGTGCACCTATAATCCCAGCTACTGAGAGACAGAGGCAGGAGAATCGCTTGAACCTGGGAGGTGGCGTTTGCAGTGAGCCGAGATCGTGCCACTGCAGTCCAGCCTGGCAACAGAGCCAGACTCTGTCTCAAAAAAAAAAAAAAAAAAAAAAAAAAAATTCTTTATTCCCTTGCTTTTCTGATCTTTTGGCTAAATACAGTAAGAAAGCACAATGTTTTCTCGGCAACTGTTGGAAATTCTGGATTGAGGGCCTTTCTTAAACATTGAGATTGAGATATATAGAAGAAAGACAGAAAGACAGCTTGCTTGTAGTTGTTCCTCAATCTCCCAAATCCTTAGCTTGTTTACCTTTTTTTCCCCATTTTTCAGTCTTTTGTCTCGTGGCTTTTGTATTTTTTCTAAATTTTGTTGTCATTAGCAGAAGGAATAAACTGGAATGTGTTTGTCTTGTCAGAAATGAAACTTTCCCTAAATGTAGTTAAACAAACAAACCAGTAGCAAAAAGATAAAAGGAGGATATTTATAGGTGATTTTAATTAATAAATACACTACTATATGGTTGAAAGAAGAAGTCAGAGTGGAAGCCAATACAAATTTTAATTGAAAAATAAATAAAATACTGTATACCAAAATACATATGCTGCAGCTAAAGTCATGGTAATATGGAAATGTATTGCTTTAAATAAACATACTAATAAAGCTTAGAAGATGAAATTACTTAAGTATCTATCTTAAAAATGATTAAATTAAAAGAAGAACTAGGAAAGAAATAATAAAAATATAAGTAGAAATTAACAAAATAAAGGACTTACATACTAGTCAAAATCAATAAGATTTTAATTTTTTGAAAATGTAATAAAATGTAATAAAAATTCTTTAGTGTTTCTGATGAAGAAAAAGAAAAAGAAATAGGACAAATCAACAACAGTACAGATGGAAAGGAGACATAATTACCGATCTTTCTGATATTAGGAAGATTATCCTGTGATGTTATGAACAACAATATGTCTGAAAACTCAGATAAAATAATTTCTTAAAAAATAGAACTGATAAAACTGAAAAAAGAAAGAATGTGAGGATTTATATAACTACTGAAATTAAAGAAATGACATCTATAATTAAAAATCATTATATAAGAAAACACCAATTTCGATGGCTTCACCAGTAAATTCTACTTAACACATATAGAAGAAAGAACATCACTCTTACACAAACGATTCCAGATAATTGAAAATAGGAAATGGTCACTAAATCATTTGTTAGTCCTAACAAATACCTAGATACTAAAACCTGACAATAGTATTTTCTTCTAAAAGCAAATTACTGGCAATCCGACTCATAAATTTTTTAAATTCACACACACACACACACACACAAACACACGTATGACGGAACCTCATTCTGTCGTGTCTCATTCTGTTGTCCAGGCAGTGGCATGATTTTGGCTCAGTGCAACCTCCACCTCCCAGGTTGAAGCAATTCTGCTACCTCAGCCTCCAGAGTAGCAGCTAATTTTTTATATTTTAGGAGAGACTGGATTTCACCATATTGCCCAGGCTGGTGGCGAACTCCTGAGCTTAGGCAATCCACCTACCTCAGCCTCCCAAAGTGCAAGGATTATAGGTGTGAGCCACCGCGCCCAGCCCCTATACAAATTTTAACACAGTGAATACAACACCGTATGTAAAGTTTAAACCAAGATATCCAAGTTAGGTTTGTTTTTAGAAAACAAGATTGGGTTAAAAATCAAAAGACAAATTATCATAATTCACCGTATTAACAGAATAAAGGAGAACATTCACAAACAAAAAGATGCAAAAATTACATTTTATATTATGCAGCCATCAGAAACGATGAGTTTGGGTCCTTTGTAGGGACATGGATGAACCTGGAAACCATCATTCTCAGCAAACTGGCAGAAGAGCAGAAGATCAAACACCGCATGTTCTCACTCATAGGCGGGTGTTGAACAATGAGAACACATGGACACAGGGAGGGGAGCACTACACACTGGGGTCAGTTGGGGGGAAAGGGGGAGGGGGGGGGGGGGGGGGGAAGCTGGGGAGAGATAGCAAGGGGAGAAATGCCAGATGTAGGTGATGGGGAGGAAGGCAGCAAATCACACTGCCACGTGTGTTCCTATGCAACAATTTTGCATGTTCCTCACATGTACCCCAAAATGTAAAATGCAATAAAATAAATAAATGGGGAAAAAAAAAATTTATCATCCTTTAGTGGGAAAACTCTCAAAATTAGAAAGGACAAATTTTCCTTAATTTGACTTTTAAAATAAACGACAATCATATAACCAACATAACTTATAAGCAAATGTTGAAAGCTTTTGAAAGTAAAAATTACTTTTGTTTCATTTTTTGTTAAAAGGTCTAACTAGTGAATCCATGTAATCAATAGAAAGAAAACAAATAATAACTTCAAAGGAATAAATAAAACTGTCAGATTTTAAGATTACATATATATATGTGTGCATTTGTATGTATATATATTTAAAAATCAAAAAATTCTGCACATAAAAAATTAGATTGCAAAGTGAGTTTGGTAAGCAAGTCAGGTACCAGGTTTGGTAGGTAGAATTTTAGGGATATATTGTCAAGGGTCCCATATTCTGATTATTCAAGCAAGCACTTGTGTAGTTACTATTGTGAAGGAATTGTTTGAATGTTATTAAGATTATTAATCAGTTAACTTTAAAATAGAGTGAAGATTGGGAAATAATTCCATTTATTATTTTTAAGCACCAGAAAGTGAATGAGATAGATATTAACATCCTGATATGACTAGGAGTCTAAAAGTTAACTTGGATTACCCAGTCATGCCCAATGTAATAACTGGAGCACTTAAAAGCGGAAGAGAAAAGCAAAAAAGTAAGAGAGATCTGACAGAGAAGGAGGCAGAAAAGAGATGATGTAGAAAGTGAGATCACAGAAACTTAAAACAAGAGAAGAACTTGACTCACTGTTGCTGGTTTCAAGATGGAGGAATGAGCCAAGAAGATGAGTGCCCTCTCAAAGCTGAGAATAAACCCCGGCTATAACCAGTAAAAAAAAAAAGTAGAAATCAATTCTGTAACTCTGTGAAACTGAATTCTATTAACAATTTTAATGAGATTGGGGGAAAAAAAATTGTCCACAGAGCCTCTGGAAAAAGATCCAACTGAGGCAGGCTGAGTCCAGACTTCTGACTGATTAAATTGTGAGATAATAAATGGGTGTTGTTTTAAACCACTAAGTTTGTGTAATTCATTACAACAACATTAGAAAACTAATACGCAGGTTGAATATTCAAAAAGAAATTCCATTTCTATGCATAGCCAGTGAACAGAAAGGGAAAGTAAACCATGTATACCATTTATGATAGCATAAATATATAAAAGGACAAAAGTTAACAAGATATGTGAAGACCACTGGTAAGAAAAATTGCATTTATTTATTTAGAAAAATTAATGATGTTCTAAATAATTAGAAGAATATTTCCTGTTCATGGACTGGAAGACTCAACATTTTGAAGAAGTCAATACTATCCATATTGATCTCTACATTCAATGCAGTTCCATATTCCGTACATTTTTTTAATAATTGACAAACTGATTATAAAATTTATATAAATGCACAAGACGAAAAATAGCAAATACAAATTAAAGAATAAGTAGCTGGAATGATTTTCTCTCTCAGCTCTCAAAGCTTATAACAGAAGTTGCAATAAGTAAGGCAGTGTCTTATTAGAGCAAAAAATCTGTGCAAACAAACTAGTACAACAAAATAACAAGTTCATAAAGTGATCTGTGCATATATAGGCACTTGGTTTGTGTCAACATTTCTATTGCAAAGCAGTAGAAAAATACTTCTTTTCAATATGTGTGTAATGGTGATATAACTACAATTCATATAAAAAATAATTGTAACTTGATTTCTAACAAGTTTGTGTGGTCACATACACATACAAAAATTAATTCAAGGCCGTAATCTTAAATGTCAAAGGCAGGACAATGTAGCTTCTGGAATATAATAGAGTTAGCTGTCTTCGTGACTTCAGGATAAGAACAAATGGGCAAAACCACTTGTTTGCAACATAGTGGGGAAGAAATGAATGTAAATACACTTGAAATATAAGATATAAATTTCATCTCAATAGCATTCAGTGAAGGAAGCATGTGAGATGAGAAATCAAGACATAAATAGTTTAGCATTGTAGAAAGTGAAGACTGGGAAATAATTACATTTATTATTTTTTAAGCACCAGGAAGTGAACGAGATAGGCATTGATATCCTGATATGACTAGGAGTCTGTAAGTTGATCTTCGAAATAATAATTATTTGTTTCTATTTTTAAATTTTAGAAATACTATTTTTAAAACTATGCTTACAAAAATTTCAAAGATACATATCAAAGTAAAGATCATGAGAATCATTCATCTATCACCCAGTTTCAATGATGATCAAAGTATGGCCAATGTCACTTCATCTAGACCTTTACACAATTTCAGAAATGCTTTTACTAATGGCAGAAATCAATAAGGGAAATATTAAATATATTTATTAAAATATGCTTTGCAAGTGTGCCATTTATGCTATTTAATATGTATAGTAACCCAGAAACATAGGTGATATTATTACCATTTTACAGTTAAAAAACTTTACAAGTTTGTGTGCCACTTCAGGTCCTCTTGGGCACACTTGTCTTAGTTAAAACAATTACTTCAGCTTTACTCCAGCTCAATTTGGACTCCCATGCAGGTGCCACTTCACAGTCCCTTCTTTTATACCCATGTCTCAGGCCTTCTTTCTCTTTCCTATGATTCCTTGTTGATGCTTTTGCTGGACTTCAACTAGAGTTCCATGAATTTATAACCAGAAAAGCAATGTGAAAACTTTTGAACAGTAGGAAATACAAAAGGGATGATTTCCTCCCATTCTCCTTTTTGATAAAGAGTCTTGAGATGCCATTGACCTTTCTCCCTGGGGATGATTCTATTAAACTGGGTAACTGGTTTCATTTAATGGCAACCACACTGATAATATATCTTTCTCATGGCTCTCTCTTCTGCCCTGCATTTCTGTGCTAATCCATTACTTTTGTTGTCTTGCACTCCATCCATTATGAAAGAATAGAATAGAAACCCTCTGCCTTAGGCTCTGTTCTCTGGGTAACTCAGGCTAAAACACCGGCTCAATAACTTAGGAATTTTGACTAAGTTTACACATCTGTCGGGGTTAAAATTAAAATTCAAACTACGAGTCTTCTTAACCCAAAGCCAGCGTTCTTTGTCTGCATTGTTCAGCATCGTAAGTGAATGTCAGCTCTTTTTATGTATAAGGTTGGCATTTATGATACAGACTACCTTCCTGAGGATTTCACTGAATCTTAGATAGTTTTTGAATTTATGATATGGGAAAGTAGGAATTATTCAGTCTGGGGCCATATTAGAGGACTTTTTCAGGTAATCTTTGAGTGTCCATTCTTATTTAACAGTGGTAATAAATCACTGATTAGAATCCGTCATGTGTCATCAGTTCTTGTTGACTAGTGGGCATCACTCTTATATGCTTGGGAAATGAGCCAGCTATTTAATTGCAGAGATACAAATATTAGTAGCTATAGGCTTTTTTTCCCCTTGTTTCTCTGAAGGAGAGTCCTCCAGCATCCAGTCTGGTAGCAGGAATCACTATCACTGAGCAGGTAATGAGAACTGAGTATCTAATTGTTCATTCCAGATTTTCAATAATGCTGTTTCAGTATATCACCTCCCTGCCATCCCTCCTTTGTTTGATGTACACGACAATCTGGTTTGATTTTTATAGAAAATAATCTCTTATCCTCTATGAGTGTTTGGAAAGGGCAGCTGCTTAACTGCTTGGAATGATGGAGGAGAAATCTATATATTATATCTCATCAAACAAACTTTTAATTAATCCACTGCTTTTAGTCTCATATTTCTCTTTCACAGTTGAGGTGTGTGAATTTCCCCATTCTTGATTTATCTCTGAGTTGCCTTACTTTAGAAACTTCTCTCTATGCAGAAATATTTTAAGGCTTTGTGCTTTGTCAAATCTACTAACAATGCCTTATCTATTTTTATATTCCAAAAATTTGTTGGTATGTCTCATCCACTCTCATTAATTTTATCCTTGTGATATTAGACCATTTTATTCACAGACAGTTATTATATTGGAGCTTGAAGTAGATTAGAAATAAATGTATGTATTTAGTCTGCCACACTTGACTAAAATTTCTATAGTGCATTTTCTTTTTTAAAAAAGTTAAACTCTCATATTTTACTTAGTGTTTCTTTCAAAATTAAGAAAGAATAGTATTTGTAAGCTGATGTTATATATCCCAGGTGTTCCCATAGAGAATTCCAGGATTTTACTCATTGGAGATACTATGCAGGGGAATTAAACATTTGATAGCAATCTGAAATAAAATCACTTATTAATCAATTAATATATGTTAAATATATACTGGGAGCTTGGTTTGGGTTTGATGGATTAAAAATAGGAAACAGGAGGCTTGTGTGTTAGAGAAAATTAAAGAAGGCAGGTATGATTCAAGGCATTATGAATAAAAGTAAACAGGAAGAAGGCCAGGGTAAAGGGAGATCTTGCATTTCTTAAGCTAAGGTAAACATTGGTTTTATCCATTATATACTAGAAAGTTACTGAAACTTTCTAAGCATGAGAGCACTACATGTTAACATGTTTAATTAAATAAATAAACTTAATATTGGAAAATGAATTAAAGTTGCCAGGAGAGGACACCTCAACACCACATAGAAGATTACTATAATGATCTAATTGAGAGATGATCAAGACTTAGAAAAAAGCTGGTAATAGAAAAGGTGACAGATTTGAGACTTACTGAGGAAAAAAATTTAAAGAATTTGGTCCGTATTGGGTGTGAGTGGTGAAGGAGACAAATTTTCCTGTAATGACTCTTGGTTATTTGCCTTTGATGGAGAATAATAAGAAAAATAACATTTTCTACAATGAAGAAGGAGTGGCGAAATTTATAGAGTAGCTTTTGGCAGAGAATATCAAAATTTGATTACTATGAAACATATCAAACTTGTGGTCACCTTGAGATGTTCATTTAGTGATTACAGGAAAACATTTGGATATTCAAGTATGAGACAAGATATAAAATGTTCAGAGTCATCAGTACATTTATGATACATGTATGGAAATTGGTTAGAATTCTACTGAAAGAACTATGGCCTACCCTAGATTCTGAGAAAGAAGAATAAGAAATAGAATTTTTAAAATATGTTATGAGAGACAG